GTGCCACCACACCATTTCTTGGAAAATACTTTTTTTTTTTTTTTTGGTCAATTGTGGGGCTTGAACTCTAGAGCTGGGCGCTGTCCCTCAGCTCTTCAGCTCAAGGCTAGTGTGCTACCTCTTGAGTCACAACGCCACTTAAGGCTTTTTCTGTTTATGTGGTGCTGAGGAATCGAACCCTAGGCCTCATGCATGCGAGACAAGCACTCTACCACTGAGCCACCTTCCCAGCCTGGAAAATACTTCTTAAAGTGGCTGAGATTCCTTATAATTGACTTAATTCGATAATTTCCTTATTATTAAAGATGACCATTTCAGTTGCCTATGACAACTTGTAATCATGTAAAAAACTGTAAGCATTGTAGTTGTAAGACTGTAGTTAGATCCAGAACTTGCCATTTTCTTTTTGTTTGTTGTTGTTTTTTATTATGAAAATACTATACAGAGGGATTATAGTTACATGAGCAAGGTAATGAGTACATTTCTTTTTTTTAATTATTGTGAGAATACCGCACAGAGGAGTTACAATTACATGGGCAAGATAACGAGTACATTTCTTATCAAGCATTGTCGCCTCCTCGTTGTTTCCCCTTCCCATGGGCAAGATAACGAGTACATTTCTTATCCAACATTGTTGCCTCCTCCTTTATTCGTAAAGGTGATGTACAGAGGAGTTACAGTTACATAAATAAAGTAATGAGTAATTTCTTTTTGAACAGTGTTCAACCTACTCTAACTTGCCATTTCTTAACGACAAGTGAAATTTGTTAACAGTTGAAGTTTGACTGACGTTTTACATTTTGTGAAAAAGCTGAAGTTTATTTTTCAAGATTTCTTTTGAGTTTATACTTTCTTTTTTTTTCTGGAGCAGAAGTGACATGTTCAAAAAGAAATTATAGTACTTCCATAATTTTTTGTGGGAATGTGTGCCAGTCCTGGGGTTTGAACTCAGGGCATGAGCTATTGTGCTCAAGGCTAGCATTCTACCACTTTAGCCACAGCTCCACTTCTGACTCTTTGGTGGTGGTCAATTGGAGATAAGAGTCTCATGAACTTCTTTGCCTAGGCTGACTTGATCCTCAGATGTCAGCCTCCTGATGAACTAAGATTATAGGTGTGAGCCACTGGCTCCTAGCCTACCCATAAATCTTAAAGTCAGTATGGTAAGTTGATGACAACTTTCAAAAATGAGTTTAAGGAAATGATTTTCTCTGTAATAAATTATAGCGACAGATTGATATATTTTATTGGTATATTGCTATTGCTGTTGTTAAACTTTAAGTAAACTTATTCACCTTTATTTTAAAAAAATTTCCTTTTTAAAAATGAGCTTGAGGAGCAATGGAGCTTGTTACTGAGACATGCCTTACTTAGTAAACTGGTCAAAATTAGCAAAGATAATCAGTCTCTGGGTGTTGTTCAAAGGACTTTAATAATCAAGTAACATTTATTCAATAAAATCTACCTAAATTTGGTTTTTTAAAAGAAACAACAACAAAGCAGTGGAAGCCATAACATTCAAGCTTAGGGACTGCGTCTATCCTCTTCCACAGCTCTCTGACTTGTTGAAGAACTGTTTCAGAGGGCTTGACAGATGAACAGGGCAGGAGTTCACATTTCCTCCTGTTCTCAGTAGAGCTGTTCCCAGTAGGTTCGGCAGTGAACCTAGGTAGACATTATTTTCCATACCATCTATGCTACAAAGGCTTGAGTGGCTAGTGGCATGGCAGCAAAGTATGCTTAGTCCCCACAAGAAATGTAACACTTCTATTCTACATTTTTCAGTGACTTAAAGGAAAATATAAACATAATGAATAAAAAGGACCAAATGAAACCTCAGGAGTTGAAAAATAGTGTTTTGGGAATGAGAATGTTACTAAATAGGTAATAACAACTTAGACATTTGAGAAAGGGGAAAAAAAGCTCAGTGAATTTGAATATATATTAACAGAAGTAATCCAAACTGAAGGTGGGATGGAGGGAATGAGTAGAAAAAGAATGAACAAACCCTGGTACAATAATAGTAAACAATATTAACATATGTATAATGAAGTTTCTAGGAACAGGGGAACTGTCAAAAGCATTTTGATAATTCCAAAACAAGAATAACACAAAACCACACTCAACCACAAAATCTTCAAATTCATGAAAAACAGTGATAATTGTAGCCAAGGAGAAAATTACATATAAAGACTACTAGTTCTTCATCTGACCCAAGTAAACACCAAAAATCAATAAATGACATCTTTAAACTATCAAAAGGAAAAATTGCCAACCTAGAATGCTATACTCAACATAAATATTCTTAGATAAAGCTAGAACATTTATGACTAGCAAAGAGGCATTTAAGAAAGGTAGCTAGAGAAAAAAAAAAGAAAGGTAGATCATAATAGGTAAAAATTCTAACAAAAGAATGAAGACCACCAAAAAGGTAAAAATATAATGATAAAAAGAAATTCTTATAATTAAAAATTTTAGATACCAGTTTTCAAGTGTATATGGAAATGATAAGCACCTTGAATAGAATAATCAAGTTTTGTTTTGTTTTTCAGAGTGACCTGTAACCTGATTTTATGCATCAGTAGACAGTAACCTATCCTGAGTGACTGAGTTTAGGTTAATAAATATACAAGTGCTCAATTATCACAGACATGAGCCATAACTAATCATACTGTCTCTGCACCCACCACTTCCTTTTCTTAAGCTCTGAATATATCCTGCTCATATGGTAGGATCAGACATTTGGAATTAATTTTAGTCTAGATTGCTGGTGAAGATCTACAAACCTGGACTTGTTTTAATTTTTATATTTATCAGCAGGTATAACACTAAGCTTAAACAAGTTTTGACAAGAATAAACAAATTGGAAGATGCTCTTAAGCCACTTGTTTTGAAGACCTAATTTAAAAAACAAAGCAAAAGAATTTTAATTCTTAACTCACACATACACCAAAATTAACTTAAAACATAATAAGCCTGGGCTGGGAAGGTGGCTCAGTGGTAGAGCGCTTGCCTTGCATGCCTGAAGCCCTGGGTTCGATTCCTCAGCACCACATAAGCAAAAAGAAAAAAGCTGGAAGTGGCATTGTGGCTCAAGTGGTAGAGAGCTAGCTTTGAGCTGAAGAGCTGAGGGACAGTGCCCAGGCCCAGAGTTCAGGCCCCACGACTGGACCCCCCCCCCAAAAATAAAACAAGCCTAACTTTAAAACTGGAAGCATAAACCCTTAGAGTAAAATGTTAAGTCACTTAGTGAAATTATTTGTAACCTGGATGAACTTGTCTCAAGTTCATAAGAGAACATGATAAATATAGTTCATAAGAGAAAATGATAAATTGCACTTAATCGAAATTAAAACCTTCTGCTCTTCTAGACAATCATTAACAATAGGAAAAGTAAGGGACAGGGAAAAATATATGTAAGGCTGTCTCAAGTAGAACAATAAATGAATAGCTGTTAATATTATTAGTTATTAGAGAAATACAACATTAAAATGTAAGGAATCAGGCATGCATACCTGTAATCCCAGCATTTATGAGGTTGAGGTAGGAAGCTCTGAATTTGAGGCCAGGGCTACATAGTGAGACTTTTATCTAAAAACAATAATGAATTAAAATGTATTATAGGAGATTATATGTTCTCACTAATTTCTCTTAAGCCATTGTTTACTTAGCTGTCTCTGTAATAAAAGTCATATTTGGAACCACTTTAAATTGTTGGTGACTTTGATTTTTACTAAGTTCCGTACTTGCACCCATTAAAATTTCTAGCTTGAATGAATTCCTAGAGCCCTAAGAAAAAGTCTTATCATGTTTATTTGGTAGTTGCCTGCTAACCAAACTTACCATATTCAATCTGCCAATCAGCCAAGCAGTGTAGACCATTTTCCAAAGGACTTCTCGTGTCTCTAGTTGTTCCTTAGTTTGAAGTCAGAAAGTAGTCTTCAATCATTTTCGTGTTCCCAAATAATATTTTAGCTGCTGATCCCCCCTAAACCTTTTACGCTCATGCCCCATCATCATCATCATTTTATACCTATATTCTGCAAATGAATGAAAAATGTAGTATTTATCTTTTTTTTTCTTTTACCATCTGATGATCTCCATTTTCTTACAGACATTGTAATTTCATTCTTCTTGATGTTGCATAATCCCACACTGACATATCTGCCATACTTTATCTGTTCATCAGTTATTGAGCACTTAGGCTGCTTTCTAGAGTTTGACTATTGTGAATAATGGTATGATTAACATGAGTATTCAGGTATCTCTCTTGTATGTTGAATCACCATCCTTGGAATACTTGCCAGAGAGTGAGTATAGCAAGGTAATAGGCCTCCTCCCTATCCCCATACTAGAGTTTGAACTCAATGTCTCACTCTTGCTAAGTAAGCACTCTACATTTGAGTCATACCTCCAGCCCTTTTTGTATTTGTTATTCTGATGTAGAGTCTTGCTGTTTTGCCCAGGTATATGCCTGGACCTCTTCCTGTTTTAGGCTTTCCAAGGTAACTGGAATGATAAACACCTCTATATCCAACTTCTTTCATTGAGCTGGAGTCTCATGAACTTTTTTACCCAAGCTGGCCTGGTTTACCAGGCCAGGTTTACCCATCTGCCTGGTCTCAGCCTTTTATGTAGCTGAGATGACTGAAATGAGCCGTCAGCACCTGACTTATTTTTAGTTTAGTTTTTTTTTTTTTAATGAACTTTGCTGATTTCCAGTATACTAGTTTGCCTTCCCACCAACAGCGTATGAGGATTCCTTTTTCCCCATATCCTCAAGAGCACTTATTTATCATTTATATTTCTCTTTCTTTTACAGAGCTGGGAAGCAAAATTAGGGTTTTGTACATGCCAGGCAACTACTCTACCACTGAGTCACCTTCCCAGCCCTTAGATCTCAACTTTCTCAAACATACTTTCTCATGGTAGAAGTCAAGTGCTTAACTAGTTTGGAGAATTAGAGGATTGATTTTTACACTTTGTCTTTTTCTTTACAGTATATCTCTGTACCGGGGTAATTGCAGGCCCATACGATTTGAGCCACCAATGCTGGATTTCCACGAACAGTAAGTTTTAGATATGGGAACTGTATTTTTTTTTTAAGTTAGAAGTGTTTTACCTGAATTTGTCTTGTTTTTTGCCTGGCTTAATGTATATGAGGAAGTTAAGTGGTTGTCATGAGGAAACATTATTTTGAATCTAGTTTAAAACTAAGAAACAAGAAGTTAGAAGTTTACTAGCTTTTAAAGTTAGAAGTTTATGAACTTTTAAAGTGAAAAACATTCATATGATGCATTCTCTGGTTCAGAGTATATTACCTTCAGAAGCAGTATTAAATATATATATATATACACATATATATGTATATATATAGGTTGCCTTTTTTGATAAGCACATCATTTCTTGTGGATATGGAAGGATAAATTGTTTGCTTGGTGTACATGCTTTAAAAGTGCAGATTTTTATACACCACCAAATAGTTTTGTCCCAATTCAGAATGGCAGAAAAGTAAGCCAGGCCCAAAGAAACATAGGTCCCATGGTTTTCCTTATTTGCAATAACTAGTATATGTCTGAGACAAGCAGAAGAGGTCAAAAGCTATGTACATATGACCAGATAAGATGATGTTAAGCAAAATGAACCCCCAAGATAGGGAAATAAGTGGTTTTTTCTTTCTTGCTATTGTTTCTAATGTATTTATAATGTACCATGTGATTTTTTTTTGTTTCTTTGTATATTCCTTCCCCACGGTATAACCCCTGTTTTCACTGTATTTGATGTCGGTGCCCTGCATCTTGTCTATATACTTCTCTAATTTGGAGAGGGGAAGGGAAAAAACAAAATGCTTAAATAAGGATACAGGTTGACCCATTGTAACAAGATGCACAAGACACTATGTTGAAAAACCGAACTTTACAATTTAGGCGGGGATGGGGGGGCATTGGTGGAGGAGTGTAGTTGTAGAGGTGGGAGGGAAGGGATGGTTGGGGAAAAACAAAGGAGGAGGTAACAATGCTTGATAGGAAATGTGCTCATTACCTTGTTCATGTAACTGTAACCCCTCTGTATAGTATTTTTACAATTACAAAAAGTATTTAAAAAAAAACAAATGTTACAGGTAGACCTGGTCCAAGAACAGAGTTGCTTCCTTAAACCATACTTCTGGCTCACCTCCTACTTTGAGGACTCAGTTTTCACACATCTCATATACTCTAGGAACAAGTATTTTTACTCTATTGCGCTCCACTGCAATTAAGCAGTTGAATGAGGAGAATATCTTAAACAATGTTAACTACTACAATGTAGTAATATAACTTAGAGTTTTTTCTTTCAGGTAAGTTAACAGAACAAAAGAACACTTAAAAAGTTTGAGAGTTGATTTTACTTGGGTGTAATTTTACTTGGATAATATTTTGCTCAGATATAATCAGATTGTGCAGTTTTATATCGTATTTCTCTCACTAACAGAAGTAATTATGTATAATTAGTTGTAAAATTTTATGTTCTATATAGCATTCCTGTGAGTTTAAGTAAGCCCCTGTACTTAGGCATATAGATTATTTCTTCTGTTTTATTTATACTATTGCTACAGTAAATGCATATGCATATAAAGGCTGAACTTTGTTTTTTTAATTTTAAATTTATAAGTATGTGAATTTATATTAGAATATTTCCTTAGACTAGACTTCCAGGAGTAAAATAACTATGCCAATCAATGTTTTTAGATTTACTCTGACTGAACAGATGAAAAAATTGATTTTCTTTAATTCTGCCAATTAGTGTTTAGCAATTTTCACTATAGTAAAACCATTAAGTTTAGCTAACTTACAGTTTTAGGCTTATAAAAACAAGTATATCACATTTGTACAAAACAATGGTAGAATAATTATCATGGAGTTAAAAGTTATTTGATAGAAGATCTTCTGTAGTTTGTATTCTTACAAAAATTATGAATTTTAAGAGTAGCAGTGCAGAGAAAAGTTTTCATACTTATTTAAATTAATATTTGGAAGTAGTTATATCAGTAAAATTGATCTGACTGGTGTGAGGTTTTAAGACCATAATGTTCAGATAGGACATAAATCACTATTTTGATTTATACATAGACTTAACTACTACTTTGGGAATCTTAATCCTCAATTCAACACTATTGAGATATGACCCTTAGCAGATGGTTACATTTTGAGAGCCCTATCTTCATGAATGGATGCTATCTGTGAGTGGATTATCTCTCCCCCATGTGATGCATTTCAACATGTTATGATATAGCAAAGAAGGCCTTCATCACATGTCCATACCTTGATCTAGACCTCCTAGCCTCCAGAACTGGGAAAAGATAAATTTCTGTTCTTTTTGCTTAGCTTTAGGTTGATTTGATTTGGTTTGGTTTGTGGCTTTTTGACTTTTTTTGTCTTACTTTTGTGTGTGTGTGCTGGTACTGGGGCTTACTCTGGGTCTCGTACTCTTACTTGGCCTTTTCAGTTCACAGCTAATGCTCTACCATTTGATCACACCTCCCTCTTACAGCTTTTTGCTGATTAACTGAAGAGTCTTAGAGATTTATCCATTCTGACTTCTAACCTCAATCCCCAATCTCAGCCTCCTGAGTAGCTAGGATTATAGGGTTGAGCCCTAGTCACTGGTGCCCAACTTATGTTGTTTTTGAGAGAGTGGAGAGTCTCAGTCTGTAGCCCAGGCTTGGAACTGGAACTTGCTATGTAGTATAACCTGTATCATCCTACCTCAGCCTCCCTAAGGCAGAGAGAGAGAGAGAGAGAGAGAGAATTAGTGCTGAGGATTGAATTTAGGGCCTTGTACACTTGCACTTGCTGAACAGGCACTCTACCAATAAGCTACATCCTCAGCTCTAAATTTCTGGGTTTTGATAAATTACTCAATCTCTGATATTCTGTTATAGCCTCACATAATGGATTAAGACAGGTACAAAGTAAAGATTACAAGGAATATAGAGTTCTTGATCCAATTACAGTAGTATAGAATCCAGTCTCCTCTCAAATGCAAAGTATTTAATAAAGCATAGTGAGTGTTTAATGTTTATCAAAAGAATTTGTTGTTTTTAAAATGAAGACTTTTCTATATAATAAAGTTCTGTGAGTATACGGTCTGAGAATGGAGACTGATGAAAACTATGCTACAACTGACATTGAGCAATGTTTATGGCATTTGGCAAGATGAGTGAGGGTATTAGAGGCAATCAGTGCACAGTATCAAAACTTTGTCTATAATAGTGAGAGTTCTAACTTTAAATATTTAGCAATAACTTATTGAGGTATTCTTTCAAAAGTCATATCCAGCTGCTTTCATTTTATTGTTTTTGAGTTTTATAAATTTCATTTTTATATAAATTTTCAGATACACAGAGCCTCTTAATTGAGACTAAAATTTCTATTCCAAATTATCCCTTGAATCTACTGAATAAATAGAAATTGGGACCAGATCAAGTAATGATTGATGACTTCAGCCTATTTTTTGGATGCTGGCTCTCCTTAGAAATGAGTGAACACACTGTATCCTCTTGCTTGCTGTTCCCCAATAGACATACACACTGGCATAAACAAACAGAGTACTGAACCTATAATACTTTGTATTTATGTTCAAGGGACTATAAGTGTGAGTCATCAGCACCCAGATGTATTAGTTTTTGAGATAGGATCTCACTAGCTTTATCCAGACTGGCCTTGAATAAAAGTAATTGTCTCTACTACCATGTAGTCATGCACCACCATAAGCAATTCATTTCTAATTCTTCATCTGGTATTTTAAGGGAATTCAACAATATTAATTTTTTTTTCAAAGTCAAGTTCTCACTATGTAGCCCACTTTGAATTCTCATTCATCCTGCTTCTGCCTACAAAGGTCTAAGATTAACTACTACCATGATCAACTCTATTATTGATATCAGAAGAAAATTAATACTGACTGGTTGTGATAGAATGGTAACTGAAACTCATTAAGGCAAAAGTGGAACTATGTGGTACCCTCTGGGGACAACAGTATCTTTTGTCTGATACTGCTAGGACTCTCTTTTTTTAATTTTTTTGTGAACTTACTGTACAGAGAGGTTACAATTACATGGGCAGGATAATGTGTACATTTCTTATCAAGCATTGCAGCCTCCTCCTTTGTTTACCCTTCACATCCCTTCCTAGCCTCCCCCCCCCCCCCCTCCCCAATCCTCCCCCCCCACACACACCAACGTTGTAAAGCTCGTTTTGGACATGACAACTTGTACTTCTCATTGTTGCAACAGGTCCACCTGTACCCTTAAACGACTTGTTTTTCCCCATCTCCTCCACAAGTTATACTGACATCAAATATAGTGAAAGCAGGGGTTATACTGTGGTGCTAGGACTCTCTTAAATAGCTACCCCACTCTGTGAGCTTCTCTCTCAGCACCAATATCCCTTTCCTACACTAATGAAGGAAACCCACAGACAGCTCCCAGATTCACATTCTATAGCCTCCAAACCTGAGGAAGCACTAGATTCTGCTTCTAGAGCATTAAAATCGAGGCTAGAATAGTGGTCACCCTGGCTTGGGTCAGTTTTCCGACCCAGAGAATAAGAACTCTCATCCAAAGAATAAGAAATCATAAGATAGGCAGTTGTTGTAATTGAAATTCATCACACCGTATCAAATCCTTACTGATCAATACTCCTATAGAGAACAGATTTCTGTCTAAAACAAGCTAACTTGCCCAGCAGTGGTTTCTTTGGTATGGTGTTAGCCTTGCAGAAGTGGGTTGAGTCTCAACCAAAATTAAGTTTGGAGAGCAAGACCAATGATTTGCATGTGCACACACACACACACACACACACACACACACACACACACACACATTAGAAGAGAATATAGGAAAGTTTATTGTACAAAAGCTCTCAAACTAGGATGGAGTTATTTCATAATAAACCCATCACGAGTTGAAACTGTTATTAAGTTGAAGCACATCTATTTCTACTATACATCTTTTTCTTTTCCTTCTTTCGTTTGTTGTTTGTATTCTTTTTGGAGCTATAGATTGAACTTTGAGTTTTGCACATACTTA